AAGGGTGCAACTCCTACGGGTTGAGACAAGAACAGGCCAGCAACCAATGTACGACACAAATCACCACCGCTACCACCAACGACAACGGTGATAAGAGAAAATAACAAGGGAAGAGAATACGATACCACCGGCCAAGAAACGAGTCCCACCCGGAAGCCCGTGTCCTTCCGGGTAGCTCCCAGTTACCCCCCACCCCGGGCATGACGTGCTGTGGTATGGAATACCTCCTTGGCTAATCTGGGTCAGGTGTCCTGTCTCTGCTTCCTCCCGGCTTCCCCTCCTCCCTGGCAGAGCATGAGCCTCACAAAGTCCTTGGTCAAGGTAAACATCACTTAGCAACAACTGAAAACATCGGTTTCACCAACATTGTTCCCAGGCTGGAAGTCAAAACACAGCACTGCACCAGCTACCACAAAGGAGAAACATGACTGCTACTGCTGAACCCAGGACAGGAACGGATAGCTTTGTTTCTGAGCTCACCATTCTGGGTAAGATAAGAAATCAGACTGACTTTCCAGTATGTTGCCTTTTAAGGATATTAAGACCTTGTCGATTACTTCTTAGGAAGTGTAAATGGTTAGGGATAAGATTATTTGCTTCCACAGGCACACAGAGAACTATTTTCTCCAGAAGTGATTCTGTCATAAATGACATTTTTGCCTTCTCTTTATGTTCCTCAATCCCTTTTCCCCTGGAAAACACTGTGCTTTCATTGTCATACATTACTGAAGAACCTTGCATTTGTGATCTATCTCACTAATAACTCATAACCCTGAACGAATGTTATAACCATATATTATCTAAGAAAGGTGTGTTGATGATCTATAGCATAATTTAGATGTAGATGTTACTCAAAGAACATGGCATTGAGCTGTAAACTCAGTGGAGTTATGAAGTAGGGTGTTGCACATGCAGATGGTGGTTGCTTTAGGACTTGACCATAGTGAAATCAAGATTGCCTGTTTCTTGGGTGAGAAGTAATGTGAGCATGGGTTTTGTTTTTCAGTTACTGCCACACTGGTGGGTTGGGTAATCCTCACAAGCATGACCAAATCTTGTCCTTGATAATCATGTGTAAGTATAGGGTGTGAAAGGAGCAATGATGAATTACAAAAGAAGGGAGAAGCTGGAAGAAGGGGGCTGAAGTATGTATAGATTTTGGTGAATAACCATGTGACTGCTTTGAGCGGGGCAGTTGGACTAAGTGACCTCCAGAGGCCCTTTTCAGCTTCTCCGTTTCTGTGATTTCTGGCAATAGGTAAAATGCTAATAATGATTACCTATGAAGAGCCTAAGTATGGGAGAGGAAAAAGGTGAGGAATGCAAGCTGAAGGGAAGAAGTTAGAAAGAAGTCTAGAATGAGGCATTTTTCTACCCAAATGTAGCTTCCCACTTGTGGCTAATAGATGACAGCCCTGGGTTTTCCTATGCAGGCTTAACCTGATGATTGGAAAAAAACCAACTGTTATTTGTGAACTTGAACAGCTACAGACCTATGTATTTCTAGAAATGGAAATTGTTATTGCTAGTTGCTTCTTCTGCCACAAATTCTTGCCTTGCATGAGTAAGCACCCTGAAGAACCTACACATAGGAGAAGTATAGTTTCTGCCAGCTTGTCAGGCTCTCTTTTCTGATCAACGTCTTATCCTCAACGATAAGTATAGTTTCTGCCAGCTTGCCAGGCTCTCTTTTCTGGGTGTCCTGGGTTCAGCAGTAGCAGTCATTTTTCTCCTTCTTGGTAGCTGGTGTAGTGCAGTGTTTTGACTTTCAGCTCGGGAACAGAGCTGATAGCTAAGTGATGTTTACCCTGACCAAGGACTCTGTGAGGCTCATGCTCTGCCAGGGAGGAGGGGAGGCCAGGAGGAAGCAGAGACAGGACACCTGACCCAAACTGACCAAAGAGGTATTCCATACCACAGCTCATCATGCCCAGGATGTAACTGGGAGTTAGCCGGAAGGGCTGGGAGACTGCAGGGTTGGAGGAGGTATCGGTCGGTGCTTGGTCGGGCTGAGGGGGGCGAGTTATCGGTCGGCTGGTGCTGAGGTGTTGTATTCTCTTCCCTTGTTATTTCCTTTATCATTATTATCATTGGTGGTAGCAGTAGTGATCTGTGTTATACCTTAGTTACTAAACTGTTCTTATCTCAACCCGTGGGAGTTGCATTCTTTTCGATTCTCCTCTCCGTCCCTCTGGGAGCAGGGGGAGGGCAAGAAAGGGGGGGAAGCGAGCAAACGAGTTACCTGACTGGGTTTAAACCACAACACTGGGCAACATCTCATCCTCAAGAGAATGGTGGCATCTAAACTCTGGGAAATACGCATTGTGCCATCATGCTTGATACTTCATGTCATTTTTTGAACTAAGGAATAGAGTAAAACAGCTCTTGGAAGAGTTATGGATAGCAACAAAGTTTCACCTTTGTCCTGAGGAATATTTGTACAGCCTTAGCCATCCTGTGATCTGATCAGGATTTGTGACTTTGCTCCTTCTGAATAGATTATTCCTGAGGAGTTATGATGGACACCTCTCACCCGCCCCCACGTTCCTGCTCTGCTTGGTTTTACTATTGAAGAAAAAAAACAATGCATTGAAACCTAATTCAATATGTGGATAAAAGCTGTATGAACTTTTCTGACCTGAGTGTCTAATAAATCAGTGTCTCAGTAAAGAACAGATGACTTAACCTGGGAGTCAGGAAGATGGGGAGCAAGTCAAGGGTATAGAGTACTTTCACAGTTTATTCAGACTTTGCATTGATTAAGGCCATCTAGTTCCATCTAGAGGTCAAGTGTCCAGCTGCCACTTCACCATCTTGTAGCAATTCAGCTCTTGCAATAGCCCTTCTACCAAAGCACACTGCTATGAATTGGTCCATTAAAATGAATTAGATCCTGCAGAGTGGATGCTGGTCTGCAGGTACTGTGAGGGAGAAGTCCTTGTCACTAGGTTTCTTGATTTGGGCAGCAGAGGAAAAGATTTTATTTTATGCAATAAACAGTTTCTTGTAAATTATTAGTGAATATATTTTAGAGAGGTGCAGCTGATTGTAGATATGCCTTTCCACTGAGAGTAAGGTCACCACTCTCATTACACTGCTATTAATGGGGTTTTGACTCAGCTGTTGTCAGCAGTTGATTCCAGATAGGTTCGGAACAATTTTTGCCTCATTGTTAGTGCTTGTAAAGATAATCAATAGAAGCAGCTTTATGAACAGCTAAGACAACAGTTTATGTAAACACTTTAAGACACAGAAGACTACGTCATAGAAAAACGTTTCTGACCAGTCTCTGTGCCAGTACTTTGGGGTATTTGTAAGGGTGTTTCTTTTTAAGATGACAAATAAAGCGGACAGGTAAGAAGCTTTCCTCTTGGTGTACCTACGCATAATCCTTTTTAGCTCACTCTCTGCATTTTCCAGAGGACATGAGGGTGTTTTGCTGACTCAGAAGAAATTATTCCTTTATAAATTATGTGTTACAGAAAGGTAGGTGAAAGGGGTTGAAAGATAAAAGAGACAGTATTATAACAGAAGAACAGATAATAGTCCCAGCTGAAGGATGCAGAGCATGGAAAAAATCATCACAGCCAAGTCTGAGAAAAAAGTAATAAATACAAGCTTGAAAATACCCAGTAAAAAAAAGGGCAATTTTTTTTTAAATGGTAGTATATGGTCCACTGGGGTTTTCTTCTTTCCTTTATTTTTTTTTTTTCCTTGAGCTTATGAATGGTATGATAAATGTGGTATCTAGTGAAACCTCAAGCAAAGTTTAAATAACTGATTTTCCTTTTCTCTGCTTTTATCTTGGTAGAAGCAATTATTTTTAAAAGGCTTCAAACTTCTCTTTTGTAAGACTTGTTTGCAGAGGTTCAACAAACCATTTTATAAAGAGCTAAGCACAATAGAAGTCCTCTGTAGAGAATCTAGTTGCATTTCATGAAAACCAGTGAATTGTGATGATTGTACCCTTACCAGTGACTCCAAGCAAGAGAGTATAGTTTTACCTGTTTTATCAAGATTTTTACTTGTGTTAGTGATTTAGTAGGTGATTTGTTTTCTCTGTTGGTATTGAAACTGTTCTATAGTTTAGTAAGAAGCATCCTGTTGTCAGTCATGCTGTGTTTCACAAGATGTAAATCTGAGGTCTCAGTCTCTTGTGGTTGTTAAGGATCCTACAGCATGGTTTGTTCCTTGAGTTAAAAATAGGTAGCATTCATACTGGGGCCAAGCTGACAAGGTAATGAGAGCTGTGATGAACTTCTGCAGGCACAAGGTTTCTGCATGAAGTTTCTGTGGTTTCAACTAAAGATGGAAAGCTTCTTGAGTTAGGATCCAGTTCAGCTCAGTTCCTAACTGCACAGGACCTGATACATGGATACGAAGCCTTCGATTGTTGGAAGGTAATTCTATATATGCTAATAAATGGGGACCATGTGTTCACAACCCTTCACCTTATCTTTGACCTAAGTAAGTTTTCACTGTATGTTGCAGGCTGGTCTTTCAACGCCTTTCACAGAAATGCACCTACTGGAAATTCCCAGATTCCACTGGAACAGGATAGCTTGGATGCGTAATGATCAATACTTGGGAACTGAAGATGAAGTGTTTTTGCAGACTCTACAATGAATAATTTCTCTATGAGCTCTCTTTTAATATTACATAAATTAGTTACATAAAATTAGTTACAAAAATGTAAAAATACAGTCTTTAAAGTTATTTTCAGTGGTGTTAATCAAATTAGCATTTCTTTTGAACTGTGTCTTTATTTTGGAGAGGGAGAATTGCAATAAATACAAAAAAAATCAACTTTTAACAGTTGTCATGCATTTTATGTAGAAGTCAATTGCATACTACATTGATTACTGACAGCACAAAACCCTAGACAAATTAGGTAAGATGGAAATACTATATTAATATTTCTCATGACATTGCTTTTTTTCCCAGATAATTTTAATGAAACATGATCATTTGGTTCCTTATTTTTCTATTATTTCTTTCCTGAAGTGTTCATGATGGCTTGTTGTTGCAGGAGAAGCTTAATGTCAACAGTATGGGGCATCAGGTGATAATATTTGACTTTTCTCTCATAAGAGGACTGTGGGAAACTCGAGTTAAGAAGAACAAAGAACGTCAGAGAAAAGAGAAGGAAAGATTAGAAAAAAGCTCATTGGAGAAGTAAGCCAACTTTCCTGCCGTTCATTTTAACTAAATCCATCATTATTATTATCCAGTAACGCTGGCATATACTAAGCATTATCTGATTCAAATCTTATATTTTTGGGGTTGATTTCAACAATTTCACACCTCCTTTCCTCAGATGATTGTAAAAAAAATGCAGTAGAAATTGTGCTTCTGTTTAATTAGAGTCCCTGCTCTTTCTTATATAAACTATGATTTACTAAGGCTGTATTTTATTGTCTACTGTGTAGAATTAATTTGGAGGAAAAAATATTTTGTACATTTTTATTACTTATATGCTATATAAAATTATGACTATTATAGAATTCATGAAAATACGCTCAAAAATTTAGTACTAAAAATACTTTAAGGCTTTTGTTGAGTTGACAGGAGAAACAAAAGGAATTAAATAAATGGGCATATACAATTGCTTCTGAATAAGAAAGAGAGGATAGAATAAAAGAATTATCATAGGATTTTCTTTCTTGTTAAAATATTAAAGAAAGCTTTGATTGCAATGCTTACATACACTAATCATGTTATTGTTTTTGTTATATTTAACTTATGGTTTCTTTAAGGAATATTTTGGTTTCTTTATGTTTGTTCCCATAAGAGACAGTGAAATATACTGTGCTGGCAATGTTGGAAACATGACATTTTTCCCTTCTGAGAAGAGAAAAAAGCAATAAAAATAACTTCCTGCTTTAAAATGCACAGGGTTAAAGAGTGTCCTTGTTTAAAAGCATCATTGCATTCAACCTTTGTGTGGTGTTTTGGCTGTCTCAGGAGACATCCACTCATTGATTCTCACTTCCAGTGCAGCTACACTGACAACAGAGCAACTGCACCAAGAGAAGACCAGGGTAATACAAAGAGTGACTGCCCTTTCTGCATAGTTGCAGTCTTGGGTCTCCTGTCCCTACACCAAAGCCTGCATTAAAAACAAGGGAAAATTGAGCTTGTCCTTCAGATTAAAGGATAAACTTTCTTTTTGGTATGAGCTGAGGGACAGAATAAGTTTGCTGTTGTGACGATTTTTTATGATGGAAAAAAAAAAGTGAAAGGATATGGGATGAAATTTGATTAAATCTTATTTTGTCCCACATGCTACATTAAAAATGGCTTTGCCCAGTTCTAACACAGATAAAGCACACAACTCTCTACTGGTGTCTACGTCTGCTAGCGGCTCTTGGGATGCCAGTGCAGCCTTCTTCATAAAAAGAATATTATGACTAGGAAGCCACACCTGTAGGTTCTAACAGCACATGCTGTTCATTTTCAGAACTGCTAGAAGGTCAGTCCCAGTGCAGATCTGAGCATCAGCATCCCTCTGCCATGTTTTGGTTTTGTTTTCTTGGTGCAGAAGATAACTTCTGAGTTCAATAACACAAAAGCAAACTAGAAATGCCAGGCATTGGAAGTTCTGTATGAAAGAAGGAAAGAGGATAACCTTGTGTGGTCTAGGTAGATAATTCCAGCTCTCATGTTTTTGTCAGTAGCATGTGTTAAGGTTCATTTCTTACTGTGACTTGAGTTTTCCATAAAAACAATACATTCTCTGTGCCATTTCTGCCTGTGGTTGGTTGTCTTTATTCATTCCTCCAGCTGAAAAAGTGGAGCTTGACAGCCTTTTTTTTGAACTAATGAGGTCCAAAGTAGTTCTGTTATTTTTTTTGTGCCAAACTGAGATGGGGAATTTGGGTATGACACAGAGAAAAAAGTTCCAAGTACAATTTCAGCATTCATGAAGGAATTTTATTTTCTTCTTTTAGCTTGCAGTTTGAATACAGTGCTTTGTCTTGTACATCTTCATGTAATCAGACTGCTTTCCAGGTAGTCTTACTTCTTTTACTGCTCCTGGAAAAAAAGGAAAGAACACATGCAACTTTGTTTCCTGAATGCGAGTGATCAGTATTATCACCCACTGAAATGAATGGCAAAATTCAGGTTAATTCTTATAATGCAGGCCTCATAGAATGGAAAAGGCTGGCAGAATAACAGTCAAAGTCATAAAAATATTGGTAAGACAATGCAAAATTCAGTTAAAAGAAAAAAATCTCTTTGTTTTATGAGGTGTGTAGTGACCTCCTGACCTTTAGGTCCTAAAGGTCAGGTCACAAGTTATTTCTTCGGTCCTTTTCAGTGCTTCCAAAAGGCCAAAAATAAGAGGAGATTTTTCTTCTTGTTATCACAAAAAGATAGATAAAATTGTAATTGTAATTAAATGCTTAATAGGAATAATATTCCCCTGTAGAAATACGTTTCATTATTTTAGGGAGTTCTGGACATTAAATGCTTAATAGGAATAATGTTTCCCTGTAGAAATACATTTTATTATTTTAGGAAATTGTGTGATCAGTTTTTGGTATTCTACTCAGAGATTAAAATTTTACCACAGTCAGATAGGTCCACTGAAATCAGTGATAGTAAGAAACTATTTTGGAATGGATTGTGACCCAAAATGGTAATTCCAAGAAGATGTTCAAAGAAGGAAGTTTCCTGAACTGAGTCTGCATTCTAGCATTTAACAGTCTAGATAATTATCTTTGCCGGCAGTCAGAGTGAATACCCAAGTAGTGTTGGAATTAATAGAGTTTCGCTGCAAATATACTTGTACAACAGATGAGCTTGGAATCTGTCTTGCTGAGGCTGCTTTTATTTTCTTAAAAAACCCAAACCCCAAACAAACAAAATCCAGTTTTCCTCAAAGAGGTTACAGCTCACTGATGCCCTTGAGATTGTGCAGTTCCTTATCAACTGTGTTGCTAGGTAAAATGACCTGATACTATGTATTTATTGTTTGAGGAAATACTCCCAATTAACCTCTGGGGAAGTTTGCTCATCTTGGGGCGAGGTGATTTAGTTCATGCAGGGTCAGTAAGCAATCACATATTAGGTGTTTCTCTTTTTGACTGAAGAATTTCTAACATGAAACCCTTGCAAATAATTGCAAAACTTGAAGTGTGAATTAATGGTAAAGTCTTGTAAAGTTTTTGGAATTTAGGTCTAGTGCAGATGTTTAAGCAGCTGATCAATGAAAGCTGATTCTGGAGAAAAAGAATATTCTGAAAAGCTCATATCTGTCTCTGAGATATGGGAATCAGAACACATTGTGTGGAGTCCTGTTTCCCATTTGATTTTGTGGGACTCCAGAAGCACAACAGTTTAATTGACCCCTGCTTCTGAGGGACATCTATAAACCAGCAACTGAGTATAAAAGAGAAAGATACAGTATAGTGTTGTACAAGAGTAATTTAATTTTACATTATGTCCTTAATCACATTGGGCAAGCCCGTTCTAAGTCTCCCACAGGATATAAAACATGGACTCTTACAGAAAATGTGCATTGTTCTGTGGTTATGAAAGTCCACATTATAGAAAGAAATTTGTGTTTATAGCACTGTTTTATATTTAATCTTCTATAGTCTGTTAGGGGTGAGCAATCTCATATGCTGCTTTGAAATCTGGAATGATGTCAGACTAACTTGATGTGGTATGATAGCGTTCCTCATAAATTTTCCTTTCTACTATTTTTGTTGTTTTGATAAGGGAAGGAAAGTGAAAAGCAGGTAAAAACTGATGGCTGACAAATTAAACATTCAAGTGAGGAAATGACAGAGATGTTTGCCCAGATTAGCCATATAAATATTTGCTATGAAATGGCAGAGCCTGGCTTGTCTACCAACCAAACTTGTAGCAAAGATAACAGTTTATTCAACTGCCTCTTCCAGTGTGTCTCTTCTCCAGCATTTTCCTCTCAAGGTCTAGCTAGCTAAATGTGCATGTGTTACTTTCCTTAGAAATCGCTTCCTGAATGTTGAAAGTCAAAAGAAAACTTTCACTCTACAGGCAGACAATGACTTTTTTCCCTGAGAGGTTATGTGTTTCTTTAATAAAATAGATTTGTCTCTATCTTTAAGCCAAACTTCAGTGCTGTAACTTTATTTGTACTTGAACTAAGATTCTATTTGTGATGTTTATCTTTAATTCTCCCACTCAATACCCAATTCAGAATTTTTCTAAAAAAGACTAAAACTCAAATTGGGAGCCCTTAGCCCCAAACACAAATTATAGGCAACAAGTTGGAAATAAATCTGTAGTTCTAATAACCACTTATTTGACTTCATTCTTAGGCACTTGTGCATACAGACCTTGCATCTAATGTACTGCATGCAAATAGGTTTAAAGATAAAAGCCGCTGTTGAGTCACAGTTCTTTACAACCCATGGAAGACTGTGGCAGAGGGACTGAAATTAGATCAATGCAATGGAATTTGAAGAAAATACTACTCATCCATCAGGAATATTAGTCTGTGCTGAGTTCCACTTTAGCTGTCATGCTCTTATAAATATTCTGTAAAAATATTTAATAGTGCTGTGTGGCTAGTGATTCTGACAAAGAGTACTAAACTAGTGTCACAATGTAATGTCCTGGTTATTTCATCCATCCTGATTTAGAAGAAACAGTGCCATCTAATGAAACTTCCTTTCTTTACCTAAGAAACATAGCTTTTCCTCAAGGACAATGAAGTAGTGTTTGGGGAATGATTACCTGAAGACAAGTTTAGCATTAACCAAAGTGGAAATACTTGAATATTCTATTTGCATGCTGATCCTGTTTCATATAAAATCATAGAATTATAGAATAGTTTGGGTTGGAAGGAATCCTAAAGCTCATTCAGCTCCAATTCCCCTGCCATAGGCAGGAACACCAGGTTGCTAAAAACCCCTTCCAACCTGACCTTGAACACAGACAAGGTTGGGGCAGCTACAACTTCCCTTGGCAACCTGTTCCAGGTTCACCACCCTCACAATAAAGAATTCCTTCCTAGTATCAAATCTAAATCTACCTTCTGCCAGTTTAAAGCCATTCCCCCTTATCCTATATCTATATGCTCTTGTAAAAATCCCTCTCCAGATTTCTTGCAGGCCTCATTTAGCTATTGGAAGCTGCTCTAAGGTCTCTGCGGAGCTTTCTTTTCTCCAAGCTGAACAATC